ATAGACATGTGTGTCAATTCTGTCTTAATGGGAAAATGACTAGACAAGTGTTCTCTGCTTGTTCTTCTATTCCTAAAAGACATTTTGAAAGAGTTAGTAGTGATGTATAGGGACTGTGTCCAATTGTATCTGTTGAAGGATATAAATATTATGTGATTTTTATGGATCATTATACCAGATTTACTTGGTTCTTTCCTTTGATGTATAAGTCTCAAGTTTTCTTTGTGTTTAAAAGGTTTTATGCGTTTGTTCAGAGTCATTTCAATGGTACAATTTAGTTTTTCCAATCTGATGGTGGTGGGGAATTCACTGGTTTAAACTTTAAGAAATTTCTGGAATCAAAAGAGATTGTTCACTTAGTGTCCTGCCCTCATACACCTCAGCAAAATGGAATTGCTGAGCGAAAACATCGCCATATTATAGAGACTGCAATCATTCTTATGTCTACAACCGCATTACCTCATAATTGTTGGACTCATGCTTATGCTTATGCTATTTTTCTTATAAATAGAATGATGTGTAAGTCTTTAGTTATGCAGTCTCATTTCTATAAACTGTGTGGTTATCATCCTCAGTTATGTTCTTTAAAGGTCTTTGGTACAACAGTGTATCCCCTTTTGAGACCCTATAATAAGACTAAACTAGAAGCTTGAATAGATCAATGTGTGTTTTTGGGATATGTGTTAGGATATAAAGGAGTGGTGTGCTATCACCAGACAAAACGAAGGCTATTCATTTCTAGACATGTGATTCATGATGAAAAGGTTTTTCCTTTTCAAGGTTCAGTAAAATTTCCAGCAATTGAATGAAAGTACTTAATCTGCTTGTAAACATCTTATCCTTGTTCCAATAGTGTTGCCAGTGCAGTCCAGAAGTACATCTCAGTCTTCAAGTATTGGAGTTCCATAATAATTAGCTCAGTTAGTGGGTGATACTTCTAATTCATGAGTTTTTTAGTGGGTGATACTTCTAATTCATGAGTTTTAGATTCTTCATCAATGGTGTCTACATATTTGGATTAGCATTCGAGTGGTTCTTCTCAACTACAGGCCTTACCTCTGGTTACTACTTCTTCCACCTTTTCTTCACAAGATGCCATGTTACCTGTCTATAACCCTGTTCAAATTGAGGTACCTTTCTCTCTAGAATCTGATCACTCAACTTTCAATTAGTCATACTCAATATCATGATTCTGATGTCTTTGTTTCTACTCATCCGATGCAAACAAGACTAAAAACTAGTGCTATTACTAGGAGATATTATAAAGCTTTTTCTGCTTTTACACATGAGTGTGAGAATTCTGATTGGTTATCATATAATATTTCTTGTATTGGTTTCACTACTGTTCTAAACATTGTTGAACCTACTGAACCATCATCTTTTAAGCATGCTGTTGCTATTTCTGAATGAAGAGATGCCATGACTGAAGAGTTTCTTGCTTTACAAAAACAAGGAACTTGGGAGTTAATTCCTCCACTATTTGACAAGAATGTAATTGGCAGTAAATGGGTTTATAAAATTAAGAGGGACCAAGAAGGGAAGATATCAAGATATAAAGCTCGGTTGGTTGCATAAGGGTTTAGCCAAGAACAAGGTTTGGATTATGAAGAAACTTTTAGTCCTGTTGTCTGCCATAGTACTGTGAGGATTGTTTCAGCACTTGCAGCTGCAAATAAATGGTCTTTAAGGCAATTAGACATGAAGAATGCCTTTCTTCACAGGGAATTACAAGAAGAGGTTTTTCTTGTCTCAGATTTTGATACTAGTCAGTTTGTCAAATATGTGAATAGACATGTGGTTATTATGCTACTATATGTTGATGATATAATCATCACTGGATCTGATACTGTGTTAATTCAACAAGTCATTGATGAATTGGGTGATGTGTTTGAAATGAAAGACATGGGCAAACTCACTTTCTTCCTTAGGCTGCAGATTACCTATAAAGATAATGGTGACCTGTTTATTTCACAGTCTAGGTATGCCAAGGATTTGATTAAGAAAGCTGGTACAATCTCTTACAAAGCCTCACTTACACCTTGCAAACCTTATACACAACTACTTAAAATGAAGGAACTGTGATGCATCCCACATTGTTTCGAAGTCTGGTATGGGCATTACAGTATCTCACATTTACTCGACTGGATATTACTTATGTTGTCAACTATGCTTGTCAGTTTATGTCTCATCCTACTGATGTCCATTTTTCTTTGGTCAAGAGAATCATTAGATACCTTCAAGGGATTATGGAATGTGGTCTTACATCCCCTTGTACACCTACTCTTGATCTCATGGCATATAGTGACGTTAATTGGGCCTCGGATATTAATACCAGATGATCCACAACTGGTTATGTTGTTTTTCTTGGACAAAATCCAGTTTCTTAGCAGTCTAAAAAGCAAGCATGTGTGTTTCAGAGTTCAACAGAAGCAGAGTATAAAGCTTTGGCTACTATTGCTGCTGATGTAGCTTGGATTAGGCTCATTATCCGAGATTTGAAGGTTTTTCTACCACAACCTCCCCTTCTACATTGTGATAATATTTCTGCACTTGCATTATGTTCAAATCCAGTATTTCATATGAAGATCAAGCATTTAGACACTAATTTTCACTTTCTGAATGAAAGAGTCTAGAAATGAGCTTTATAGGTTGAATATATTTCCACTTCTGATCAAGTTGCAGATATATTTACCAAAGGGCTTCATGGACCATTGTTTTTGCATCATTGTTCAAACCTCAAGCTTGGTTTTCCTAATTGAGTTTAGAGAGGGGGAGTATTGAGTGATGATTGGGTGTTTACTGTACCAATCGCAAACCGGAATTCTGTGTATCCCAATTTGGATTGAGGGGGAGTATTGAGTGATGATTGGATAATTAGGGGTAATCTTGTAATGACAAATGTCATCATCTGGTAGACTTAGTTAGAGAGAAAACTTACTCATTAAGCTATTAAATTACTATAAATACTAGAGAATGGCTATACAGTTTTGCTGAATACAATATTCTCTCACGTTTCTACAATATTCTCTCACATTTCTTTCTCTCTCTCTCTCTCTGTAATCATTCTTTCCTCTTTGATTTGTTATGAAACATGTCTATGGATGGATGGAAGATTTGATCTGAGGGCAACATATGTACATGTGAAAATCGGGGTGAAAAGGGAAAGTAAAACAAGAAAGAAAGCAGGGAAAAACATCAGAAGTATAAGAAAGAGGAAGCAGAGGAAGAAGGAAAGGCTGCCACCGACTGTAATCAGAATTAGGGCCGGCAACAAGAAGAAAATCTCTAGTGTTGCTGCTGCTCTCACTCACGGAGAAAATTGTAATTTTAGGTTAAAACCTTTCAAATTCGGATCGTGTTCACCCCTAAACCAAAACAAGAATAAACAAAGCACAATTATAACTTCATTATATGTTTTAGTTACTGAGAGTCATTTTAATACTAAATTACAAAACAAGGTATAAATTATGTATATTGTAACGTTATTGTGTCAATATATCAAATGTATCCAAGATTTTCCATAGAGCAATTCTTTTATCTAGAATTTCACTCCAACAAAAAAAATACAGAATTCAGAGTATTACAAGCTTTTTAGTGAGTAGTCATGCGCGTCTATTTATCACTTCATGTATAATTAGGGTTGGTTCAGTATGGGATACCGAACCGGAAATGGCATACCAAATCCCAAACCGAAAATTTTCGAGACGAGAATCCAACGACCGATCTAGAACTGAAATTTCGAGATTTCTGAAATCTTTTCGGTATTTTGGGATTTCCCAAAACTAAACCTACATCAAAATCAAAATCATGTAAATTGAAATTGAAATCATCTAAACCCACATTAAAAACCTAAATTGAAATCAGAGAGTGACAGTGAATCAGTGGTTGAGAGAAAGACAGAGTGAATAGATAATCAAATGGACCCACGTCTTCCTCTTGACCTAAGCCCCCAATTCAAAACCCTACGCCCCAATTTGAAACACTAACCTTAATTCGGAACCACACACATAGAGACTAGAGGGAATCGGTGGTGGGGGATGAAGTCGTGAGGTGTGGTGGTGGCCGGAATGGAGATAGTTTGTTAGAGTCAAATTGTGAAAGGTAGGTGGTTGTTGAGCTTCGAATTCGAGAAGGAGCGACATAGAGACAGAGAGAGTTTGAGACTGAGTGAACTTAAGGCTCAAAGGTTTGAGTCCTTCAAACAAAGCCAAACTCTTAGTGAGGATCGACGATGCTATAACCTAAGCTCCTGCCATTCCTGCAACGTATTTTTCAGTGAGGGATGAGAAGTTGAGAGAGAGAGAGAGGGATCAAAGAGGTAAGTCGAGAAAGAGGTTAGTCACTTATGTGATGTGGCCGGATTCAAAGACGGCAAATAAGGAGGAGGAGAAAGATTGAGAGAAATCAGTGAGGATGAGAAAGCAGGGTGAGGTAAGGTCGAAAGAGAGTGACTAAGTGAGGGTTTTATTTGGATTCAACGGTTGAGATTAAATCTCAACCAAATCTGACGGCTATTACAATTCTAAATATATATATATATATTTTATTTCGGTTCGGTTAGGGATTACTGAATGAATGAAAACGTGAACTGATTTTTGTACCAAAATTTCGAAATCGGTTCGGGATTGGGTATCGAAATTTTCTGAATTTTCTGTTTGGGATTTTTTTTATTCGATTTCAGGATTTTTTCGATTCGGTTTGAAATTTTCGGTATTTTTTCATCGAATTCAAAATATGTACATAAGTAATTAGTACGTAAAGCGTAAGTCTTCTGTTTGTAGCTAATCTTCAACTATGAAATAGAACTCGTCAAAAAAAAAAAAAAAAAAAAAAACAAAAAACAAAAAGAACCACGTGATCAGCAATTTGTTGAAATAAAATTACTCAAATTTTTTATGTTTAGGGTTTCTGGGTGTTGGTTTTCCAAGCTGCCTAAGTTTGACTAGGTGGAAGAAACCAGTACACACGCAATTCACTTATAAATTGAACCATTAACCTTTAGTTAGAACTCACAAGTGGCCATTAAGCTCCGATTTTTATTGAGCAGTTTAAGCTGTTAATCACAGAAAAGTTTCTTCATTTTTCGATCACCATGGCTCTTGTTATAAATAGCTTCATGCCAAAAACCATGCTTCAAATGCCCATTAATTCCAAGCCCTGCAGACTGGAAAATAAGATTGTCATAATGTGAGTTAATCTCTTCCTTTACTCTATACTCGTTCTCTTCTTTCAATCTTTAATTATGTACTTACCAATCTTGCATTAAGTTAAGTTTAATTAATTACTAACAGTATTAATTCTTTGGTTGATCAGAAGATGTGCTGCAACGCCTAGAAGACGAGAGCTCAGTAGAGGGAACCCTCCGCAAACCAACCGGGTACTCAGAAGCAGTAACAGGAGTTTGAGAAGTGATCAGGTCAGCCTCAGCAGTAGTTTGAACGGAGTAGATGAGAAAACAAATGGAGGAAATGTTATTGCTGATGAAGTTAACAATACAACCAAGACGACTGATGCCACTGATTAATTAATAATGCAGGGCTATTAGTTTGTTAATTAAATTAGCTACAGATATTAATACCGCTGTTGTAATATGGTGGCTGGCGGTCTAGCAAAGCATGGCTGAATGTGATTTGTTAGCTTAATTGCGTACTTATCATACTTTCTTCTTGAACTTATTATTATCGTTTCAATTCGTTAACTGAAAACCTTGCTTCTTCTTGTATCATATATATGGTAGATTATGACTTGTGATACTCTTGTACCATGTCAAAACATGTTACATCAAATCGCATACCAATTTGGCGATTGACGGAGAGGGCTTAGATCATTTAGGAATTTTAATACAAGACTTTCATCTCCAATATTGTGGGATATTAATTTCATTGCAGCAATTGAGAAATGAAGAGAAAACGGAGAAGAAAAGAGGAATGAAATCTGTGTGTAATTGAAATCCAGTGGGCATTTTGAGTAGAAAACTTGTGTACCCACGTGCAGCTACTCCATACTGATATGCTGATGCGTAGCTGCATGGGTCTCACTTTTTTTTTCTTTTGTTTATTGATGTGAAATCAATGGTCCTGATAGCTTTCTGGTTTTGTTTTGTTTTTTACCGTTTAGATCAATGACTGCAAAATTGACAATGATTTTTTTAATCTTTTACTGCCTAAATTTAAGGATTATACTACAAGGACACTCTCGTTGGAGTTAATATCTTTTAGGGACAAGTATATTCCTTTTGAGTCCCTAAATGAGTCCTCAAAAGTGTTAGGAGTCCCTTGGAGATGCTCTAACAAACTTACAAACAAAACCTATTGAGCTGACCAATCCAATTCACTTATAATCTAACCACTCACAAGCTAACATTTGTCAATATGAGTTATATGATACTCTCAACAAGATATGCATGTGTGACTACTAGCCTTTTCATTTTGTGTACAATCTAAATAATTGGGAAGGGTTGTTCTTGAGTTTTTAGTAATTGAAAAGTTATAATGGGGTCTTTTCGACATATTGTTTAATATTAAAAAAAGAGCATAGATAGATTTGTTTCTCTATATGTCCTTTATCAAACGTAGTAGTTTCGCTAAAATAAAATGATATTAAGGGAAAAGTACAAACTTTCAAGAACCAAATGTACTTCTGTTTCGACCCAAAATAATATTGTTGGGTCGAGCAGCAGGTTGTGCTCGGTCCAAGGGTGTGTCAAATGCTATGGGCCGAGTAAATAAGTCCCGGGCCAGTTTGCAGGGTCGGTCGAGTCCTATCCTAAGAAGTAGTCCAGATAAACAGAAAAGGGTCGAGGAAGTCCTGGAGCGACCAGGATTTCCGACCGGCAAAGAATAAAGCCTCGAAAAGGGCAAAGTTCAAAGCCCTAGTGGGAGTAGGTTTGTTCGAGGTAGAGTTGAAACGGGACAAGGACTCCCAATCCAGATAAGGATGCAATTCAAGGAATGAGGTGCTATAAATACAAGAAATCATGCAACGAGAAATGACCTTTAATTAGCATACAATTGCCCTGCGCAAACCTCTCAAACACCTTGAGATTTTTCCTTTCCTTTTTCTGCCGACACACCTTCAGTTTGGATAAACAGCACTGTGGAGGCACCCGGCGATCACCTTCAGTTTGGATAAACAGCACTGTTGCCGCATAACCAGCCGACCGAGAAGCACCTTTAGTTTGGATAAATAGCACTGCGTCAAGGCCGACCGGTTACCTATCTAAGTCTCAGCCGAGAAGGGTTTTCGAACCCTTGTTGGTAGAGGTCACCTTGCTAGCCTTCTTGGCGTAGTTAGGTGTTACGAATTGTGTTATTCGGCGTACTGGACGCCGAATGATTTTATGATTGGATATTCACGAGTAAGTTTCAGAGTTCGGCATTTCGACGGCCGAACTACATTTACCATCAAGACGCACATCGCATTTGAGTACCTGTGTCCATATAGCTTGGTTTCGATTCGACGTGCTTACTCTTACGAATATAATCACAGTGACCAAACCGGGCTCCGACGATTTGTGAACTTCACAGAATTAGTAGCCTTGTCTTCAGGCTATAGAACCCAGAGACCGAGAGTGTAACGCGCCCAACGCGACAACGAATTTTGCTCCTCGGCCAAGCTCGGCCGACGAGTTGGCACGCCCCGCATTCAACCGAAGGACGTAGTTAGCTTATTAGTTACTCGGCATGCGCGCCACGTAAGTTTTGTAATTTTTAGGGTCAACAACTTCTAAGAAATATTTGAAAGAGACTAAAGATACATGTAGAGAATGGAAAAAATAAAGAAAAAACATTTGCATGTTTAATTTGGGACCCTTTCGGTGTTGGGGTCATTGGCATTTGCATCTAACGCTCTTGCTCAGAAATGATTCTAAAGAAAGAGAAAACAGTATATACCAAACGATTTACTAAGTTAATTCAGTTTAATCTATTCTCAGCCAGTTCATTCAAACAATCCACTTAAACATAATATTGTGCAACAAACGCAGCTTAAGAATAAAAAAGAAATAACGAGCAGAATGCGTGTCCTGGTCAGCATAGTATAGTACCCTCTATAATTTATTCCTCCCACTAACCAGTGACAAGCATACAATAATACTTCCCCATGCCAGCTAGCTTGAATTCCTTTTGGGCCTACATGTTATTTGCTTCTTAAAAAGAGGAAGATGCATGAATCTCTTTACATCCCACGTGAATCATGCTTCCTTTGGATTATAAATCTTCACAAGAAATGGCCAAAAAGAAACCAACCAAAAGGGTGACTATGCTTATGGTGATTTCAACCTAATAATGCGATTTCTGAAATTGAAGGGTATTTTATCTACTTCCTTAGCTTCACTTTTTATCCATAAGATATTTTGTGTGTATATATCTACAAGAATTCGTGAAGGGGACTTAAATTCGGTGTCTACTTTCTTGGTTCGGACTTTAGCCTCTTCTTGGTTCGGAGTTTAGCTTCCTCTGAGGAAGTAACGGCAGTTGCGATTTGGTTTATGCTGCCTGACATTAGGATTTTTTTTGTTGTTTGTTTTGCAGCCTTTGGGCAAAAGTTTGTATCTTGGATTGCAGCTCTCCTTTTGCTTGGGTTTTTTACTTTATAAGTTGTTGTTTTGCTTGTTCTTTTTGGACCTTGTACTAGTTTTGAATGTAAGTAATCTTGTTTGATAAAAAAATAAAAATAACAATAAGTGGGAAAACCACCTCTAGATTTTTATGGAAATATAATATTATATTCCGATATTAAATTTATAATTGAATAGAAATTAGAAAGAGTTTTTTTTACGAAAGAGATGCGCGTCACCAAGCATGAAATTCTAGTGAATAGATGAAACTTTTTACTTCTGGCAATTACTTACTATATAAACATATTTTGACTTCTGAATTGATTAGTGTTTATTATATCATCAATATAAATCATTATGTTGTAGTTATGTCATTATTGCGTTGTCAATATATGATCAATATGTCTTCGTTATTAAAGATTGATCATTTTTACAAATCAAATGTTAAAATATGCTTATTATGGCTGTTCTCTCTTACTTTTCAGAGCGATCACATTCTTTTAAAAGAGACACCTCGACTTTTCTTAGATAGAGAGAGTCATCTTGCATAATTGTTAAAAGAAGAGAGTTTTAGGTAAGTCATTTATTCTCAAAATTGATGTGTGATTTTTTACATTTAGTTTATAGTATGAGAGAGTTCAACGCATTTTAATCCACCAGAGTCTTATAATTTAAGTATTATTATCAGAGAATGTTTTTTTCCTCAACCAATTTTAGATGTTTCTATCCTAATTTTCCTGTTCACTTATTAGCCTCATGAGGATTTTGGAATTTTCTATAATTTAGTATAATAATTAGACCCTTTTTTTCCCTACATATTTTAGAGAAATGGGGTTTATCTTCATCATTGCAGGGACAATGATTCAATTAAAAACCTGAAACAATGTGGAAGGCCCCTAATTATTGCTAATACCTTAACAAAAAGGTAGAACACATACGAGCCCTAGAAAATTAAGATCAAACCAACGGTCAAAGTCACTCTTTATTTGTGTTAGATGTCCATCAAAGAAATTTGACTCAAACAAAACAAAATAGCGAAAGGCAGCCAGAGTCAATATCGGGAGGGCAGTGGACACCCATGCACCGAGCGAAGCACCATTTCTCAACTTCCTTCACAAATTAGTAAGCTTTCTTTTATAGAAACTGGAAAGACAAAGCCAATTAAGAACAAGGACTCGCTAAATATCAGGACAAAATATCTCTATCACACTGAATAGTATTTGATAAAATAAGTTTTTGGGTAATGCTTTTCAGTATATGGTATCAAAGCTAGTCCGTTCATTTCTCGTGTCATACTTATGTCTAGAAATAATGTTATTGTGAGTGAAGAATGTCTCACGTCAAAAAATTAAAATATTTTACATGAATTTATAGAAAGTCAAACTATTTTTTATATTGTCAATTGAGTTTTAAGTCAGATATTCGCATTCTAATAACTTTTTGGCTTTATGTTTTAGTATTTAATTAGAGTTTATATAAGTCTAAAAGACTAGACAGTCTAGACAAAGAGAAAATTAATTTGAATCGAGTGTATAACCACCGAGAATAAGAGCTACATTTATTGACGAGGGTATCGATCGGTGTTTCATAACCATGATTTTTTTAGGTAAAGCCCACCTCGATCCTTCCCTTTGAATGCCGAAAGAAAAATAGACTAAAATAAAGCGGGAAGACCATTACTACAAGGAGCATTTGAAAGTGTTTTAACGGTGAGTTAATGGTAGGAAGATTAAAATTTTAAATTAAATTTATAAACTAAATAATATGTTTCTAATAAAAATAAGCATGTTAATCAACATCTAAATAATAATTCAATCATCAACAACCTCATCATTTAGTCTGCAAAATTTAATTTAGATATTTAATCCTCCTATCATTACCCTTAATGATTATAAGTCCTATACATCCTATGATTCCTATATACCAAAAAAAAAAAAAGATAATTTTTTGCTCACTATTAGGCGATCACTAAGTTTTCGATATTGACTCACTCGCTCTTTATTTGAGTCAATTAAATGTAATATATGGTCACAAAGATATTCGATCCATTTCAAAATACGCGTCCAAAGACTTTGATGGGTAATATTATAAGGGAATTATTATTAGTACTCCAAAAAT